GATCTGACGCTGCGGTCCCTTTACGAAAAGGAACAGTGTACAAATATTTTTGACGAAACGGAACGATATTGTAATACTTTTTACCAACCGGAACAGCGTTCCGGCTCGTTCCGGTCCATTCCGAGCCCTGGTACCAACTGAAAATTCGATTCTAAACAAATTCATTTCTATGAGCTCGAGCAATAGTTGACGAAATAATTGGAAGTCAAATGCGAAAAAAACTGCATTTTTCCATTTTTTCTTGTTTTTTTTTGTGTATAGCAATATGTTCCGGGAGCTTCCGGGCAGTGAACTACATAGAATACACTTGGTTTCGTTGTGTGAAATGCCAACATCCAGTTCAGAATACTTTTGGAGCTAATTTGACTGGACTATGTTGACCCTACACATTGACATAAAATAAAGTTCGTTAAGTGCTCCCTCCCCTAATCAAAAAAATTTGTGATGGTATTATCACAGAGACATATAGGTAGGCAAGGCCGTGCGAGGGGGAGGGGCGAGGGGGGCCCAGGCCCTGGACGCCAAGTCTGGGGGGCGCTGAAGTCGCCCGTCGTCGCCTTCGTCGGGAGCGTCAAAGGCGTGAGTGAAAGATTTACCTCGAATTATATAAACGAATCCGTACATATTCTTGTTTCGTATTTTATAAATTCAGAATCAGTAAAAATTTAAAAATTAAAAACTGTCGCGTTTATAAAGTCGGTAATTCCATGGAGTTAGGAAATCAAACAAAAGCGCCTACATTTGCCATGTTTGATCTCAAATTGCCATGGCACCACTGATTTTCTTAAAAGCGCCAGTTTTTAATTATCCAATTTCTTGGATTCAAAGTTCAGAAAATTAAAAGCTATAGTGTGCATGGATTCGTAATTTTTTTCCCTACAAAAAACCTAAATAAACTTTCTCTCTAAAATAATTAGAGAAGTCAATAAACAGAAATGAAAAAATTTCTGTTGCATTTCCTATGGTGCGTTGAACAAGTCACCACCCGGTATAATAATATATTTATTATGGAAAAACAAAAATTATGTTTATTATTCTAATAAAATCTTTCCTTGTCCAACCTCATAATTTTATATGTGGAGGCCAAATTTAGTTTCCGCCCTTGTATAACCAAACCCGCTCCATCAATTTTTTAAATGTTTAGAAAAGAGAAAAATGAAGAATTAAAATATATGCGATTTCATGTAATTTATGATGTTATACAAGTGAGCGCTTATCTTATCTACATAAAGGCCGGCGTTGAAGCCGAGGAAATAAGGTTTGAGTATATGTATTTTATTTTTACAAAAATGACTCCATCTATTACACACTTTTACCACACACAACAGTTTTCTGTGCGTCTACCACATTTTACGACAAATTATTTCGACTGCTGCAAGGTAGACAACACACTAACCGTACTCTATTAGGTGTTGCGTTTATTTCTATAGCATTGCATTGACCGTCTGTAGTATATGTTGTCTGTGTAAATAGGAATAATTTGCTATCAGCATTGAGTGCAGCTATCAGCTTTCAAGATAAATTTATTCAATGTTATCTTTTATGAAGCGCCAAAAGCGGCATCTAGTTTTGTATAACCCAAATATTTAACATTTTACTTCGCAACTGCCATCTGTATATGTATAGTACAATCTTAATGTTTAGGGTAATTTTCCACGCTTAGCAAGAAACACGAGGGAGCGGGACCGCGGTTTTAAACTGAATCCTCTTTCACATTCCGCGGTTGAACAGCTATAAATTATAAATTTCTCTAAAGTTTTCAGATATAATATCATTTTCAACATAATCTCGCACACCCATTACTGCGTTTCGAGCATTTAAATTAAATCTTACTGAAAGCCGTCTTATTTCCGATTCACCAAATCGCACATCAGGTTCAGTTGGCCAAGAAGATTTTTCGAATATCTTTAAATCATTTAATAATCCAATATTTTCGCCTTCACCTAGCAATCGGTTTTGCAAGTTAAGCGTGCAGTTTGTTTAAAAACAGCTCTTTATTGATTTTTGTGAGTTTATAATTGTGCTGCAAGGGCACTACCTTAAAATCCATGGCTTCGGATATGTTTGCCATTTGCTGAAGACATTCTCCTGGATTGGTTTTAAATGAAACCAATACGCGCACCGTTCGCCTTGTCAGTGAGTCAGCTAGCCAGAGGGAAGTCTTTCTATGCTGTAGCTCCTTTGATAGCATTGATAATTCTTGAAGAACATTACACATCAAAGCAAGATCCTCTATAAACTCTACACTTGATACTTTTTTAATAATCCTTCAAATTTACTTCTAGTTTTTCCATCCCGCATAACATCAGAAGATGCTGATTTAAAATGATAATAAAGAGCAGGAACAGATTTCCAGGTAGCTTCAGCCGCCCTTAAACTACTTGAAACCCATCGTGTATCTAATACTCGCCGATTTTCAAAAACTGCTGGTCTAGCAAAGATATAAACACGATTTCCGGACCGGGCTCGACCAGACCAGCCGTGCCGGTGCTGTTAGTCCGCGTCGTTTGCAATTATAGCAAAAGCTGAAAAATCCTAGAAAATTAACTTTTGTGCAGTTGGAAAAATTGCTTAGAATATACCCTGCAATGATCATGGCTATTGAGCATAGCGGGACAGCCATAACAGCTGATGCCATTAAAGCAAAGTTAATTGATATGCAGAAGGAGGGCAGCAGCAGCGGTGACAAATCTGCAGGTAGCGCATTTGCAAGTAAAGGTAAATTCCGTAAGGAGCCGAAACAGGGCAGCACCAGTACCACAACACAGAAAAATGTCAGACATCGTTTGCTACGAATGTAAACAAACCGGGCACTTCAAAAATAAATGTCCCACGTTACGAAGAGAGTTTCAAAGCTTTCGAAAAACACAGAAAAAGGGCGAAGAAAAAAGTGCGTTTAGTGCGGTATTTCTTAGTGGCAAGTTCAATAATACCGATTGGTATATCGATTCGGGCGCGAGTGTTTACTTAACGTCGCGAAAAGATTGGTTAAATAACGTGACCGAAGAAATCGAGTTAACGGAAATTGTGGTGGCAAACAAAGAGAAAATGCGTGTAGTGTGTGCCGGAAAGGTTGATTTGACTACGATAAATGCAGACAAAAACCACGACATCCAAATCCAGCAAGTGTACCATGTTCCGGAGCTGACAACAAATCTATTGTCCGTAAGTCAATTAATTAAAAACGGGAATAAAGTAGTTTTTAATGAGACTGGTTGCGAGATTGTTAATGTGCATGGTGTGAATGTAGCAAGGGCTGAATTGACCGACAATGTCTATCGACTAATCTATGTAAAATCTTCACCGAAAGCCTTTGCATCGTATTCGTTGACTTCTTGTGAATTATGGCACAGGCGTTTTGGCCATATAAATGACAGAGACTTGAATACGATTAAGAATGGTGCAGCAGAGGGATTAGATTTTAAAGGTGGAATACATGTCGACGAACTTTGTCAAGTATGCTGTGAAGGTAAACAGTCGAGGTTACCATTTAAAAATAAGGGGAACCGAGCTACAGATCTACTCGAAGTTGTGCACGGGGATTTATGTGGTCCTATGGACGTTCCATCTATAGGGGGATCCAGATATTTTTTGGCTCTTGAGGATGATTTAAGCAGAATTGTGTTCATTTATTTTTTGAAAAATAAGAGTGAGACATTAGACAAATTCAGAGAGTTTAAAGCGTTGGTGGAAAATCAAAAAGGAATCAAAATTAAGAAATTCAGGGAGGACTGGATACTGTTACACTCTTTAACGATAATCAAGGAGCTCAAAAATTACGTAGTAATCCAGTTTTCCATGAAAAGACAAAGCACATTGACATCAGGCATCATTTTGTTCGAGAAGCTGTCGAAAAAAAGATTGTAGATGTTAAATATTTAAGTACTGATGAAATGTTGGCTGATGTGCTTACTAAAGGCTTAAAAAATGTTAAGCATTCTAAGTTTTTATTGGGTTTAGGCTTTTCATTTTTGATAAGTGGGAGTGTTGGAAAATATCAAAAATAGTACAGTAACGCCATCTAACGTACTTAGTTGTTAAATATAGTATGTCAAGATGTCATTCTAATGTACTAGTATTGTTCTTTTCACGAATGTGTATTTCATGTTCAGTTAATTACAACAATAAACGTAGTTATTTTTCGACCGTTTTTTATCAAATCTATCCGTAATTAGTTGTTTTGCAGCTCGAAAAATAAACTCATAAGTTTTGTTCCCTCCCGTTCCCTCCCAATTGAGAAATTTCCCTCGAAATTTCCTTGACCTATAAAACACCAACATTGTAAAATATTATCTACATAACATTTCAAAATAAAATATCAATATATATAGATAAGGTCCAGTTGTGTAACAGTGTAAGTGGTCGATTTGATTCAATAGAAATTGAAAGAAATTACGTACCGCTAGAGCAAATTCATTTTGATCTGATAAGTGATTTTCTAATTCTTGTAAATCATTGTCACAGTTTACTGGCAAATGTGGTAGTTTAACAAAAATACTATCAGTAGGTGGTGCATTTTCTGCCCTATGTGCATTATCCTTGAGCATGTTTTCAATATCTGCCACTTTTGCACTCCTCTTCCTTTTTCCTTTGCAGTCTTCGTCCTCTTCTTCAGTTTGGGTGTCTAAATCCGATGTTATCGTGGCTTTCCTTGATTTTCTTTCTGCTTCTTTAAATGAATCTACAAAGTATAGTATACACTTATACCCAGTAAACATTGTTACATTACATTGATAAACATGCTACATATTTTTAGATTTGTTATGTCACATTTTACATCACAGGTAACTTACTTTTACATAAATATGCAATGCATAATGTTACACTCATGCTTCTTTGTTTAATATATCCTTGTAATATAAATTGTTCTTCCAATTTAACTTACTTGCACTGTACAGGTGAAATATTTCTTAAGTAGATTTGATACCAAAATACCAAAAAAGTTACTCACATGCGACCTGGTAATTCAGTAAAAATTACGAATTAAAAGTGAAATTAAATATCACCAAAATGTTTTCTATTTCAAAAAATTTATAATACATATACGTATAAATAATATACCTAGGTAATACCATATTAATATAAAAAAAATACAATTTATAAAAAACAACAATCAACAGGAAAATAAATAAAATGAATTCTTAAATATTGCTTCAGGACAAACGTATACTACGAATTGTTGACATTTTCCTTATCCTTTTCCTTGCCTCGCTGCAGTCTTTGTTTGCTAAGACGAAACCATTCTCCCACATTTCGCTCAAGATCGCTGAGTTGAATTAAGCTATTGTAGCGCAGCATTACCACTTCTAAACAAACAAAATATGAATCAGTAATCTTAATTGAAATAAATGTGGGATTAATTTTTTTACAATAAACTAAGGCTTACAAAAACACTACTACTAATATCTAGTCAATTATAATTGTTAATCGTAAAATTTGAAATGTGCCGTCTTACCAATAATAGCGTTCATGATCGTGAGGTTTTGAACCTTGAAATTGCCTCTGTGGCCCATCCAGGAGCACTGTACCCCTAAATTGTTAGTAAAAACACGGGATAGACATCGGTTAATGTTGTCCTTTGGGTCGTGACCGCCAATATTCTTCATGTATGAAATCTGAAATAAATAATGAAAAGAAAAAGATGAGAGGTTTGGCAATTACAAATATTTGACTAAAGGTTTATGCACCTTCGAGTACTAACAGCTAATTACCATGCCGAAGAGAAATTTGTGGCATATGGTACTTTATACAGGGTGTTAATGACTATGTTACAACGCTTTAGGGTAGAAAGGGGAGCTCATATCTGATCATTTTTGCCAATAAACTTATAGTCGGAGATGCCTCCTCTTAGAGATACACGCCTACCAATATTTAAGAAATAGTTTATTGGGTTTGAACAAAACTTTATTTAAAATCATACTTCCTATGATATGACACAAAAAACAAATGAAAAACTAATGTCAAACTTATAAGAGGTGCTCAAAATTTTGACCACGACATTCAATGCACGTATTATATCGGCGTAGCATATTAAAATGGATCTTGCCAAATGTGCCTGGAGTGTCCTGGATGATGTTTGATGCAACAGTAATTCTGGCCACCAGATCTTCCTCGGACTCTACAGGAGTTTCATATACCAGACTTTTCATGTGCCCCCACAAATAAAAATCTAAAGGGGTAAGATCTGGTGACCGTGCAGGTCTATTTCTTAAATATTGGTAGGCGTGTATCTCTAAGAAGAGGCATCTCCGACTATAAGTTTATTGGCAAAAAAGATCAGATATGAGCTCCCCTTTCTGCCCTAAAGCGTTGTAACATAGTCACATTAACACCCTGTATAAAGAAACACATTACACATTGTGAAAAATATTATCCATTGTCTAATTATTTTACAAGTAAATGGTATATAAATATTTCATGGTTGGAAAAAAATTATTACAGACTTCGCCAGCATGTTCCAGCTATGAACCCACAATGAATATAAGGATATCAGCCCAATCCCTTAAAGTCAACAAAAAAAAGCCAAACGATAGCCTTTGGATTTGGATGGACATTCTCTCAGATATTCTACAAGCATGCTTTAATATCTATAACCTAACTATTCATTAATGAAATAAATACCATAAATTGAATATATATAGTAAATACTTGAATAAACCAGCAATAATAATTTTTTTATTATACCTGAATCACAATCTCCGTTTTAAACACTCAAATGCGTGCGAAAAAGGGCCTTTAAAACACACGTGCTTTAAAGTTGCTAAGTAAGGATACTTCAAGTATGACTTTTGAAACTGTCATCTGGATGAAATAAAAAATCCTCTTAGGTCGCTTTCTGTAAATGCAGAACATTTCTTTGGCTTTTGTACCTATCCTTTCGTTGAATCTTTCACAAACGCGCGTAATTTAGGGTATGTTTCCAAATCTGTTGCACTTTTTAATCGCAGCATTGCTTTAAAGTTTTGAATGAATGCACCAAAATATAGAAGATTTAAATACCTTTGACATTTCCTTCATATGTGCCAGCATTATGGATGCATTTAAGACTGTATTCGTAAGTAACTTCCCATTCATCCATGAAAACAACTTTTCATATTCTTTATAATAGGTTTTACTGCAGTTGGATTTTACACCTAACAACGTTTGTTTAGATTTTACAACAATCGATTTAATGGGCGGTGTATTATCTTTTTCAACGGAAATCGTTTAATTCACAAAGACGATGATTTTTATAAGCAAACGTCAAGTGACATTTCCATGGCAATCGAGAAATTACGAACACCCAGCCCACTTAATTAGACATGTATTCGAGTATAACGTCAATATGACTTCATTGTATTTCCTATTTTTAAATTATACTGCAGGTATAATAAAAAAATACTATAAGATACACGTGTATAATTAGTCTTTAAAGCACTTGCAACGTTAAAGGCACTCCGCTTTGCGTCGTGCCCTTAAACTCGTTGCGCGTGCTTTAAAGACTTGATTATACACTTGTATCTTAATATACTATTACATGCATTATAAAGTGATAGTTGAGATTCATTATTTACCACAAATTTTATTATTTTGCTACAAAATCAAAAATTTGTACAATTTATCTTGCGAAATTGTTTAAATATACCCTTTGTGATAACAGCTAGATCATTAATAATTGTGGGAATTATACATGCACTTGTAAAATCGATCGTTAATATTTCCTAATGTCCGATTCTGCATCATTGGTTTGTAAACCAATTGCTAACAAGATCCCATGAGATAGAGATGATGGTAATAATTTAATTTCTTTGCAATTTGGTCACAAATCAATCAGCAGGAATCTTCATTGATGAATTTAGTGTTACCGCAAAAGTAAAGTATATTACGCCTTTACCTGAATATTATAATACCTATAAGCAAATGAGATACTTACAAACAACTCCTTCTTCTCTTGTTCCTTCAAGTATTCCTCAAACTCTTTAAGAGTTTCGATGGTATTTAGTGGTAATTTATCACCAAACACGTTAGATGTACCAGCATTCTTCTCCCATCCCTCTCGAATTGAGATATTTTTGAAAATGTGGTACATATCTCTTAAAATTCGTTCATTAGTAATGCAAAGGGCTTTTACTTGCTCAACTGATGCAGTCAGTTCGGCCAAATGGATTTGATGTGTGTTAAAATTCTCTAATAATTCATGAAATCAAAAACTGAATTAAGTAATTCATTTTTCTACAGCAAGATTAATTGTAAACAAATGGACAAAGAGCAAATGTTTTTGACCAATACACAAGATAGACAGAGCAAACTGATTAAAAAGACTCACAACAGCATTTACCTGGTACTATGTCCACTGGGAGATCATTTATAAGTAATGGAGAATTAGATGTTTCTGATGTATGGACGACCTCAAACTCTTGTGATATATATTCTCCTTCCTCATGCTCCAGACTCGGCTCCAGATGGTTATCAGAAGTACCTTCCAAATTACCTAACATTTTTGTTAAATAAATGTAATTTCTAAATATAAAACAACTTACTTATATATTGGGTTGGTGTTGGTGGAGGGGTGCATTCATTAACGGTTTCCGAGGAAGAACTACACCGGTTTTTTGCTATTTTTTTTCGTTTTCCCCTGCCTGTGTCATTTTGTTCCTGACTTGAACTGTAATCAGGGTTTTCAGCCTTTTTTCGAGCACCTTCTAAAGTATCTGAAACATCCACCATTACTTCTTTACAGTAAATTTAATTAAATGCTTACTTGAATATCCTTCAATTTTAATGTCACATAATAGCCATTCATTTTCCACCGGTTTTTCATTTTTTAGCATATAACTGCGTGCATTTAAGCTTTTGGGCCACCAGCACTGTTTTTTATTATCGGTAATCCAATTGGTTGGGATTTCTGAATAAATATTTTCGCATGGCAAATATACTACTGCATACTTCTTTTCCATATTAGCCTAAACAAAACAGAAATTTAAATACTGTAACATTTTACACCACACTAAAAACTATACAATTTAGAAATTACCGAGAAAATTTCAAAAAAGTTTCAAACGATCACAAGGTATGAAGTGGAGTTTTAAAATGTGCCGTCATTCTCTATGATCATTAACATTTTTGGGTTCACACTTAACATTTCTATTATCGAACAAAACTATTTAAAGTATACATATAATAATTTGCTTTAGAAAATAACTTGAAATGAATTTGTGTAGAAGAACTGATGATTTATTATAATTTTACACATTAGAGAATAGGTATGTACGAGCATGTAGGAATAGAGTTCAAAGATAATCTGAGGACATTATGAAATCTAAAGATGGGGTAAACTATTAATGAAGTAATGAAACAGTAACGTATTGCTGTTGGAAAGGAAGTTTTAATATTTTCTTCGAAATAAAATCAGGTTTAAATGATATCACACTGCTTGATAGGTGATCATTTGAAACTTTACTGATGTTTACAGTAGCCATATAGGGCCGATCCTAACTCAACTCCATGTAAAATCCCATAAGGCGATTTTCTAGTGTCAATGTCATTTGAAGGTGACTAAATAGAGAGGTTAATACCCTAACGATAGCCATATAGGGCCGATCCTAACTCAACTCCATGTAAAATCCCATAAG